ATGTATGCCTACTAAATGTTCAGAAACCTTTGAAACGCAAATATATATAAAACTTTTCATTTACGATTTTTTTGCGATTACTTACCTTACGGGAAGTTAATAAAAACATGTTCAAAAAATTATTCGTGCACTTTGAAAATTGAATAATAATTAAGTAAATTATGGAGATTCCGCGGTTACGCAATGTTTACTAGTCGTTCAACCTCACAATAATTCAAGTTGGCCAAACAATGACACCATAATCCTATCAATGATTAACCTGATGCGGCTAATTTTACGTAATTATTTCAGAAAATCTGAAAAGTTAAAATTGCATATATTAACCCTTTCCACTCGGCTGTCTCTCAGAAAGAACAACGTAAGTCTGTACGTGCGCTCGTCTGTCTCCTCTAAGATTGTGCACACAATGACTTAGTTCAGCGGTTTCCAACTTGTGGGGAGCGCCCTCCTTTTAAGGGAGACGTATACATCTGTTTCCAGAATACTATTATCGAAAATGACCCAACATTTTTGGAACGATGTTAAAAAATGAACAAACTAGTTGGTTTGGTATTTTGGCCTTGAGGCAAGCTACATAAACTTCCCGATATGTGTAAATAATCGACTTAATCAATAAAAACTAAATTAAATTATGAGTGATCAAAAGTATTCCGAGTGGATTTATCACACATAATTGAAAACAAGCGAACACTTTGACACGGAGTATTTTCTAAAAGTAAATTTTCAGAAATCAACAATTGTTATAATTGAGCCAGTTTCCATAGGACTTTAATAACTTGATCTGTTCATTAAAACCAAGTACTCTATCGTTATACCAAGTATAATCGCCAATTTTAATTTTAACAAACGTCAAAAAAACTACTCATTTTCTTAAACTTTGATGAATTTTTAAAATTAAACTACTTGTCGTAAGGTAGTAATATTTCAATAAGTTGTATAAGACCATGATATATATCATCAAAAAAAAAGTTTCATAAAAATCGGCTCAATTTTTTTTCTTCAACAACGAATTACAAGAAAACGGCTCGGTAGATTTTCACCTAAAACTAATCAGCATCATTCCCAACTAATATCTTTCGAACAGTTTTTGATTTTTTAAAATCGGTTCGGTAGTTTGAGGTTAAATGTGGACAAATAGTTTAACACTTTTTTTGAAATTGCAAAAAAAACGGCTGGGCAGATTGTCTCACAAAACTGACAAACGATAGTCCTCATTGAGATACACCAAATGGCTTTTAAATTTCTGAAATCGGTTCAGGCGTTTTTGAGAAAATTTTCCAAATTTGGTTTCATTCGATTCAGAATGGCTTGAAACGTCGAGAAAACATAAAATTCGCGAATCGGATTTTTTTAGGAAGTCTCCTATTTTCTCCTTCAGGAAGTTAAAAATAACTAGTTTTGATGCATATTTTTACATAATATTGCATATCAATTTGTAGTCTGATAATATCAATTAATATAATGCTATCAATTGAGTATTTACAAAATTAAATTCAATTGAAAAAGTTAAGGGGGGGCGCAACAAGCTTTTTATTAGAGCAGGGGTCGCGGTGCAAAAAAGGTTGGAAACCAATGAATTAGTTCGTATTAAAGCGTCGAATAGAATAGATCAAGGATGAGCAACCAGCGGCCCGCGGGCTTCATGCGGCCCTTTAAATATTTTTCTGCGGCCCGCCAAGCACAAAGAAAAGTTTTATTTATTTCATCAACTTTCTACCATCAATAAATTAATTATGATGTATTCTTTACCTGATGCAATAAATTATGAAATATTTACTTTTTTTAATACAGTATATATTATACTGTATTAAAAAAAGGACATATTATGATGCCTGTTACTTTATATTATGCTTTGTAAATTATTAATGAGCGTGGCACGCCAAAAAATATACTGCCAAATTAAATGTGACCAATGGAGATAAAAGTGTTCTCTTTTAAACAATCACTATTAGTTATTTCCAAAGTATCTTTACCATTTTTAATTATATAAACTTTTTTTTATGAATACAGAAAAAACGACCAAGCAATTCATGCAAATAATGCAAAATATAAAAAAAGACAGGGGCAAATAAAAAACGATACATTACACTTTTCTGTGGAATTTGAAAAAACCTGTCACGACGCTAATTTACATATTATTGTAAATGAATGTTCTTCAATGTCCACAAATTCAAATAAAATAAATTGCATAACATAACATGATTTTGCAGCACATACGTTTTCGTTAGAATGTGGCACCGAGATATTTTATCGAAGTAGATTGTTTTGAATCAGGGCCTAAGGGTAAGGGTTAATTATAAAAAAATGTTCGTTCTTATTATGAATTACAATTACATGAATAATTATATCAGAACAATTTTATTCCTTCGAATTGAAAAACAAATTTGAAAAACAATTTCTAAACGATAGAATTTACAATTTAATTCATTAGATATCTCTTAATTTAGACAATAAACTATCGATAGAAAAAACTCTCAAAATTAATTAATGAGAATGATAATCAATACAATAAAAATTTCCTTAATCACCAAACAAATGAGATTATTAATTAGAATTGAAGACTTGATGATTGTAATGCAATTTATTAATATTAAAACAGTGATTGGTAAATATAAATATCAAAACAAATTCAAAATTTAACACGTTAATCGCCACGATAGTATCAGAATTTTTTTCACATGGGCCATAGTAACTTTATTAGATAATTGAGTTAAAAATGAATCAAGAAACCGTAAGTCCGTATCAGACACATACAACTGACATGGCGATCAAGGTGTTAATAAGATTGTGGTGGTTACTTGAAACAAACATAGTGCAAAACAAATTTATAAACTCATAAAATGCGAATATAAGCGGAAATCTGTTTCTAAGAAATATAGGGAGAATAGGGCTTAAAGGTTCGCGGAAAAAAAGTCCGCCAACAATATCTCAAAAACAAGTACAGTTAGAAATTTTTTAACAACAGTATTTGAAAGTAGAGGTCAAAAAATGTATAACCAACCATAACCTTGATTCTTACGTCGTCGTTATCGGAAATAAACGGCAATGTTTGAAAATCCATAACAAAAGTATTTTCTTTCGTTGTTATTTTTTTGCAGTGAGCACGTTTGTTTAGTTTCCGAGACCTTGATATATTTTTTAAATATACGTTATTTAATTGTTTAATAAGATGCATTGTTATTTTCAAGTTAAATTCAATAGCTTTTTTTAGAATAAACTTTTTAAAGGCTTGGGTGGGTTCCAACGAAAAAACAACAAAACTTGACAACACCTGACAAAGGTGTAAATATTAAATAAAAATGTAATTTAAGTCAAAAATAGCAATTTTACAAAAGATAAATTAAATAAATAGTTATTCCAATGCTGATGAATATTTATAATGAAATACAAGATCAAGGTCATATACAGAGTTGTGTTTGTAAAAAATGAAAGAAATGGTTAAACAATGTAGCTAATAGGGTTAAAACTCCCTTTAAAATTAAAAATAAGAGGTTGCGGGTAAAAAGGAACAGATGACAAATTTTAGAAAAATAGTAATAAAATACATTTGCGTAATTAGGAATTGAATGGGAATTTTACTGAACATAGTCAGATAGTTGTTTGTTTGATAAGTGTTATGTGTTGTGATGTAGTTATTTTGGATTAGACAGTTAAATTACTTGAAGTCAAATTGAACCTTTGTGTCCCGCCCTACCATATCTATATTTTTCAGCAAGTCTTACAAAATATTTTTAACGTGAATTGGTGTTTCAAAATATTTAGTTGATATTGATTCTGGGTGACGATAAAGAATTTAAAAAAAGTGTTTTGCGTACTAATAATGAAGTACTACTAATTACAAAAATTGCATATATAGAACGATAATATGGGACGTTTTCTGCTAAAAATATTTCTTTTTTTATAACATATAGAACTTGTTATTAACTTCCCGTAGGGTAAGTTATAGTAATCGCAAAAAATCGAAAATTTAAATTTTTATGTATCTTTTATGTTTCAAAGGTTTTTGAACATTTTGGCATACCTGGAAAAACTGGATGTATGTATATGTGTATGTGTGTGCGCGGATACAAATTTTCATCGACCATTTCGGGAACACCGATCAACCGATTTGAATAATTCAAAAAACATTCGATTTGTATTGATAAGAAGATGTGCTGATTTTTGGCGAAGGCAGGTCCAGCCTGCCAAAAACGGTAACTCAGTTTTTAAGAGAACGGAGCGTCCGATTTTAATAATTCAGAAAACATTTTACTTATATTGACAAGATGAAGAACTGATTAAATTTTAGGGAAGACAGGTCCAGCGGTTATGGACTCTCAATCAATAAATTTAGCGATCAAAAATGTTTATTGGACATATGTACATAAAATTATTAGATATTTTATAGAGATTTTAATCATTTGTACACGTTTTGTGTGAATTTCTTTGGGTTTCGTACCAAGATTTTTATTTACAGTACGGGAAGTTCTAGCAATTTGCCACTAATTTTTAATTATATTCACTCACTGAAATTAGAAACATTTAGAAATATAAAATACCCATAGGGTAGAAAAACATGTACATAATTATATATCATATTCCACTTAATGCAATAAAAATTTCAAAACTGAACTGAAAACTATAGGACGTTTAGCAATAAAATCAAAAAACTGTTAGCCCAGAATTGACAGAATTGTTGAATTTTATAAAAAGAAGTAGTAAATAATCCTGCTTGTTATACCAAGAGGAAAAAAGTTTAAAGTCTACCTTACAGAAATATCACAACTTTTCGACTTGAACGATTTTTACCGGGGAATCAGTAAATTTCATAAATTGAATTCCATGCAAGTTCCCCGCCGTCGCAACTCCGCCGAAGTACGGCAAAGTAACCATCAAGGGGAAGTAATTCGAAAAACCAGTTCGGCATGTACGCTTTTATATATTATACACATACACAAGTTACTCAGCAACTGAAAATTACTCGACAACAATATTATAATTATAATTATAAAATAACTTACGTCGAATGCATTTTCTTCCTGGCCATAACGTAATCGAACTGTTATTATTCAAACGAACGACGACGAATTTCCAAATATCACAAATCTATAAAACTATCACAATGATTTTCACACTATAATTTTATAATAGAACTAAAATAATTTAGAACCGATTTTAAATATTATTAAAACGTATTATAATTGAAAAAAAAATAAAAATTAAAAATATAAGTGGGGTTATATCAAGTTATAAACTAGTGATGCATGGCATCGTGCCTTAAGACAAATTGCTGTAACTTTCCGTACCACTAATAACTAACTAATTCAAAAAAACTTTGAAAAAAATAGATTATTTAAAAAAATTTAAACTCTTGAAAAAAATTGATTTTTTGAAAAATTTGATTTTTTTTTGTATTTTGATTTTTTTTTAAATTGTGAGCATTTCTTTTAACATTGGTTCCGTACCAATCCATATAAATATAATATAAATGTACACAAAATTTTTACTTATTATTAGAAGCTTTATAAAATATATGAAATACTATGTACATGTCTTATGTTAATTTTTGACCGCCAAATGGCATTGTTTTTTTACTTTTTTTATTGAATCTTCGAAGACGCTGTACTTGCCTTTACATAATTTATACCAATTGTTCATTTTGTCAATACAAGTAAAATGTTTTTGGAATTATTTAAATTGGACGCTCCGTTATCTTAAAAACTGAAGTACCATTTTTGGCAATTTTTGTCCCGTATCTCCGAAACTGCCTTTGCCAAAAACTAATAAACACGTTCCCTTATCAGTAGGAAGCGAATGTTTTTTAGATTATTCAAATCGGTTGATCCGTGTTCGCAAAATCGTCGACGAAAATTTGTATCCGCACACACACATGCACACAGACACACATAAACATACATCATTTTTTTCTGAAGTATGCCAAAATGTTCAGAAATCTCTGAAACGTAAATTTATATAAAAACTTTCATTTTCCATTTTTTGCGATTACTATAACTTACCCTACGGGAAGTTAATAATTATATTTTTCTGTTAAAAATGTCTATTTACTCAGTAAAAATTTATGAAATTATGAAACATAAAAATACAGTATATTCTAATAAGGGGGCGTCCATTAATCACGTGAGGTTTTTAGGGGGAGGGGGGGTTTGACAGAAAATCACGAAATATCACGTGGGGGAGGGAGGGTATAGTAAGATATCACGTGTGTTTATTATTTAACTGATTTTTTAAAAAATATTCAAACATTTTCAAAAAAAAATTCTAAAAAAATAGTTTTTTCACGTAACTAAAAATACACGTGATGTTTGGTGGGGGAGAGGGGGTAATTTTGAATATCACCATGTATCACCAAGGGGGAGGGGGGGTCCAAAAATCCTTAAAAACTAGCTCACGTGATTAATGGACGCCCCCTAATTGTAATTTTAGTTGTAAAAATTAAATTTTGTGTGAATAAATATTATAGATTTATGTGCAAAGAAATTATATTTATATTATATAAAACTATATTTTGATACACCAGAACACTATCCGAGCAAGATTGAAAAACAATTCATTTTACAACAAATAATGTCATTTTTTAAATTCTGACAATGATTAAAAGATTTTGTATTATTAGAGTCTTTTCTCCTACAGTTTTATTTGTCCATTTCGGGATAGGTGTAATAATTATTAATAAATAATGTCAATTTTCAAGATTCTGACTGGTCAGAAGATTTTGTATTTTTAAAGTCATTTATTTTTTCTATTCATTAATAAAAAGTGAACCGCTGGGTTCTTCTTTTAAAATTCTATGTTATTTAACAAATTAATTACTCAATGTCTTTCTATATAGACAAATTGTAATTTATAAATAAATAAACAATAAAAAATAATAAATTTATTTTTCCTACAGTTTTACCTGTAGTCTGTTTCAGAACAAGTATAATTAAACTATAATTTTATTATACTAACTATAATTAACTTCCTGTAGTTTTATTATTAAATAATAAAAAAAATGTTATATGATAAACTTTTTTGTTTATATTTTATATATAAAACATTTAGAATTCCAAAATGATAATTTTAAACAAAAGAATATTTGTTTATTTATTATTTATTATTACTGATTACGGCTTGCTTATGAATAAATAAAAAATATAAATAAAAAAATACAAGAATTAAAAATAAATTATTTTAAAATGTCACTTTATCCAAAACCGACGTATGTTTTACGCTAAAAATATATTTTTGTTGAATTAATATATTTATAAAATAAAAAAAATAACGTCAAAATTATAATTCGATCAGTTAACGATGCGCTCCGTGCAATGACGTCACACAAGAAGAGTCAACCTGACATCGAATGATCATGGCCATTAACAAGCTACCATCTAGTGTTGTCATAGCAAAGCGTTAGTACACAGAACTCAAGCAAGGTTTCTAGCTGCTCCTTTTGGATTATTATGTTATATCTAGAGTGTTTTATAATAGAAAAAGTGAAAACGACTAACAGATAATAATCTATATTTTCTCCTATGTGGAATGTTTGCTAAGGCTTTAGCATTAACTTGATTACTTGATGAATTAATCTTGGTTTTATTTTGTTTTGATCACAAAAGTCGTTAACCTTTCAAACAAAACTTATGAAAGGGAATGTCCCTTTCTTCAGGAACTATTAAAAACAAACATTTTTGTATATAATAAATATATATATATATATATATATATATATACTTATTTTCATAATTAAAAAAAATTGTCTATAATTTTTCTTAATTATATCCTTTTTTTTTAATTTTAAATTTTATATTTACTAAAAAACTATATTTGAAAATACGTTGTGATTTGATGTTTATTACAAATGTAAGTATGTATGAACATTAAAATTATGATTTCATTTTTTAGTCGATTTTTCGTTTAATCTTTATTTCTATGTATCGTCTGTAATTTTGTTCCTATTTAATATCTGTAATCTTCTGTCTTTTGTGCATTGTAACACACAGGCAGATTTTTCAGTATCATAGGTAAAAAGTGAATTCTATTAATTTTGAATTATTTGAAAAAGTGTATGAATTTATGAAAAAAATTTATTTCTTCGAATAGTTCCAGGAGAAAGAGACATTTGATATTCCCAAAACTAGTAATGAAATATATGAAATATTAAATAAATAATTTTTTGAGAAAAAAAGATGCTTTTTGTTCATAAAATTAAAATCATAAATTATAATTTAACACTAAGATTAACTAATTTTTCCACTGAATGAAGTCTAGAATTATAGCCGGAACGTATGGATGTAAAATAAATTCTTGAAAGAAATTTATGTTTTATATTGATGCTATGATCGATTATTAGACTTTGTTAATACATATGTACCTATATATTGTTTTTGGGCATCCATCTAATAATTAGAAGAATTTAATAAAAAAAAGTCTTGATTGTAGTAGCATACGTTTCGAGTCTTGATTTGACTCACCTTCAGTGCCTATTTGTATGAAGAAAATTATCCATATATTTATTAACTGCGAAATTATAATTATTATGAAAACTAATATTGTTGAGTATTAAACCCTTGAAACAATTCTTGAGAATTATCAAAATCTTGGAGATCTTGTGAAAAAGCTTTGTTATGTAAGCTTGTAAAAAAAACTTGTTGAAATTTTTGAATCTTAAAGCTTGAAAAATTAAAAAATATCTTGAAAGATTTATAAGTTGAAAGTGCCTTTCAACCCTTGGATTTTATAAAGCGTGAGGTTTTCATAGAAGGTGAAAGATATACAATGAAATGTTTTTGAGCATCTATACAATAATTAAAAGAATTTAATAAAGAAAATTGTTTTTATTGTAGTAGCACACGTTTCCAGTTTTGATTTGACTCATCTTTATTGCTTTTTTTTGTTAAAAGCAATATTATATTATTTATTAGATTTTGTAAAAATTTGTTGAGTGCTTTCAACAAAAAATTAGTGATATGGATATATAGATCAATATTGCAGGTAAATAATTTTTGCTACTCAATTTTATTTTTTATTTTTATATGCCTTTCTTTACTTTTGTACATAATTAGTTTATACATAATAGTTTGGTACATAATCCATTCCTTTATATTAGTTTATTAGTGTTAGTCTGTATAAAAAATTGTTTTTGACAGAAAAAAAACCTGATGATGGAACGTATCTAGTTCCGAAACGTCGTAATTGAACATTTACAAAAAACAAATTGTTATTTATTTATTGGATTTATTGTTCGGAAAAGAAACATTTATCAATTTATTGAAAAAATTCAGGACTTGTCTATTAAATATATATATATATATATAAATATATATATATATATATATATATATATATATAGTATAGTATACATACAGTATGTATATATGTATATTTATAATCACCGTATAGTCGTAAGCATGAAAGGGCCAGATGATTCCCATAGGATTTTTGATATAATGTTACGACGTCGAGACATGAAGTTAATGTTAATTTCAGATAATGATTTACCCGAGGGATAAACCCCGCTTAAGCACGGTTTGTTCAAAGAAATGCAATTATGTCATGAGACTAATGTACCCCAATTAATAAAAGTTCAAGAAGTCATTTACCTATATGTATACAAAGGAGAGCTATTAAAATATGCAAAAGACTTTTATGGTTTAAGGAAATGATAAAAAGTTTGGCGAAAGCAATATTTTTACTATAAAGTTTGTGTACTTGATAACACAATTTAGATGATAAAGATAAGGTGTTTATGATGATAGATTTTAATAAATTTGATATCTCACTAGACAAAATAAATTATTGTAATTAACCTATTGTAGGTAGCTTCCGTGAAAAAGGTAAAGTATTGATATTAACGCCAAATGCTCAACCCTGGACAAAACAAAACTTTAATGTATTTTAATATCCTTTTAAACTGGATATACACACGAATGCAATTCACTTATAATAATCATACAATCAACATTTTATATGGCGAATTCTTGTTCTCGCCGTACACAAACCGTTCAAGCAACAGGACGGTGGAACAAGTATTTAATTTAAACATTTTGGAAAACAATTGTATTGAAAGAAGTTTGAGTCTCCAAAATCTTAGCCTTTTTAAGAATAGTAATAATAAAATAACCATCGATATCAAATAGATTCCAAGA